CAGCTATCAGAAATTCCGAAAAATTTGTGTAGATTAAAAAGCATAATATACATAGACACTTCCATCTTTGGTGCCATGCGGTTGTCTATACTTAGATGTAGTCACGTGATCGGAGGGGTATCCTGGTCTGACGTCAAACAAGATGGGCGCCTTACCTAAAAATAGTTTGCATCATTTCTACTTTTAATCGCATGTGGGGTAAGGGTAGGAAGTAGGGTAGGGTTAGGGTTAGGGGTAGGGTTAGGCCTCTTCTTTATTGTGTTTGATGGGGTGGTCGCTCGTTACGGAAGTCCTTCCAAAATAACAGTAACAGTCTTAGCCTGTATTTCGTCTGGAATCAACAGAATTATAAAAGTAGTCAGAAGACACCGCAATGTTATAGTTTTATCATAGTATAGATCTAGTATAGAGTCAAATACCTGAGCCGAGAGCCCATCTTTGCGTCTGGGTCCTTGAAAAAAACAAATTATTTCAGTTTGAATGAAGCAATCATGTTAAAAACTAGCGGTCATAATGTCCACACGGGTGTCCTATTACAGAACATTAAAAAATGTATGCGTGACAGAAAGACTAGCAGCCAAGATAAACACAAGAGGAAGTACACCCCAAGGTAGCCATTTTGAATCAACTACATCACATGATCGCGGTGTTGTGCCAAGATCAGCCTTCGTGAAATTTTGTCAAATTACAGTCACCTTCTTTTCGAATGCTAACTTTACTTCATATTTTTACTTGGGTCAAAATGTGTTTTAAAAAATACTTTGCACTTTTGCCTCTTTTTATAGCAAATTTTAATAAGCTTCCTGGTTGCTGAATGCACTAACGTAGGTAGCAAAGGGCCACCAATGAAGGAGGCCAGCTGATCGTTTCCGAGAACGTAGGCTTTATACTTTATAATAACGTAGATTCTATTGCTTAGGCCATAACTATTAATAACTTAACTATCCTCATATCTCTACGAAATATTGAATGTCTCATATCAAACCAACTTTTCTGAAGCAACAATAAAGAGTAGGCCCTAACCCAAAAAACAAAATAAAGTTATCAGAGCGGAAAGGGCTAGTCAACGTTTCTTGCTGTTATTTTTTAAATTGTTTGGTTTCTTTTATCCCTTTGTTTCCGATCTTTAGGTACTGAAAAGAGAATGGGGTTTTCATGCACCCAAAATTCATTATACATGTACATGCATTGTACCTTAATTAATCAATTAATTAATTAATTGTTATAAAAAATGGCAATAATCTCTGTCCAAGGGAATTAATCAATAATTTATCATAATTATGATTTATATTTGAATTGCATGAGTTATGTACCATCCATTCAAGCGAGGCACAAACTGTTCTCCTTTCATAAAACTGTTCACGATAAATAATCTGACATCAGCAGAAATGCGCAGAGCATGTCAATGGCTCAATTTCTCTGACATTGATTTAAAAAAAAATTGAGTAAGGTTTTTACGGTGCTCGCAATTGCAAGGTCACATGAGGGCCAAATAAGTCCAAACAGGGAATCAGGCTTTCTCTGCCCACCCCTCTAACATCAACAGCACAAGATCTGCTTCGACTATCAAGGCACCCCGGAAACAGCTGTTCACAAGAGAGTGACAAACAAACAAAAGAACGTTCACCTTCACCTTCACTTTCACCTATCCCGTAGACTGAATGTCCGTTTGGGCTCTTTTGAAGATTTGGCCACCAGCTTCATACTCTCCTTCCGGGCTTCAACTTTTCTGAGCGTGTCTTTGAGTTCCAGGTCTGTCCATTCCTTGGTGTTGTCCTCCCAACTCTTCTTTGGTCTGCCTCTGCTCCTTTCCCCCCTATAGACGCTGCTTTGCAGGATCATCTTGGCAAGGCCGGATGAACCGGTGGTTCGTCCATACCTTTGCAGTTTGCGTTTCCTGAACATAGTGAGAAGGTCAGCATATTGTCCAGTTACATTTTTGACCCGTTGTTTGACTTCATCATTTGTGACGTTGAGTTTAACCTACAATCTTTATTGAGTGACAATGATCAAATTTTAATGTTATTGCAGTTTTTGATAAACAAAGACCTAAACTTTATTTAAAAACAAAACAAAAAAAGAACCCCCCC